CAAGCCCCACTTCTGCTTGATGTAACTTCATAATAGCTTACAAGCATTGAGTATAGGTTCGATATACCCCTCTACCTAGCAGGATATTTGCATGGAGGATCAGATCCATCAGGATTAGCGAACTGCTTCTTGGTTTGATGGGCACTCCAGATGGTTGCCATGTGCCTCCAGAGAGAAGCCTGCAAGTGCACCTTAATTTTAACCTCACTGAGCTTCAACCATGACACCCACCTTGACCACCAGTGCAATAACTGCTTCACTAATCCCACTGCATTAAGAGAAAAGCAGAAGCCTCATGGTTTTGACAGTACTGGGAGAGAAATGTGGTTTGGACAAATCAAAAGCCAAACAGATTTAAAAGAAAAAATAAAATGTTGAAAGGATATTATTTATTGTGTTCCCAGAGCAAACCCTAAGGGTAGGCAAAGGCACAGTACATGTCATGACATGGCAGCCTCCCTTACTTCAAGAACCCTCCCAGCTGAGTCCAAAGCACCCTTGGAGGTAGCAGGAAATGAGCACAGGAGCTGGGATATGCTTGCAGAGCCTCTACCTCTGACTCCACGGCAGCTCTTGCTGTCTGTGACAGGGCTCTCAGGTGCTGTCACATCCTTTGGTTTCTGACAAGAGGTATGGCATTGGGACGGCTCCAGGCTCCATGTACAGCCCAAACCACATGGAAACGCTTCACTGCTGCTCAGCTTTCACTATGAATAAGGCTGCTGTGCGCCACTCAGCATCTTCCAGGCATAAGCATGTGCATATCATTCTGCCTGGCCCAGGGGGACTTCCAGCTGCTTCCACCTCACTTGCAGGAAGCCCCTGAGTGGCTGTGCACACACAAGCCCCTCAAAGCCATTCACTCCAGGATACTTGCCCACCACCAGGCTTCTGACTCTCCGTATGTCTGGGCAGCCACAGATTCACCTGCATGATGAAGGCAAGCATGGGGTTGTGTTTGATGTGAGAGGGCCACCCAGACAGAGCAGAGACCATGAAACCCTTCTCAGACAAAAGTTCTGGCTGGAGAAAAAGCAGATGGTTGGGCAACCTCAGCCACATGCTTCCTGCTTGTCGCATGCCCAGAAATCACAGCATGAACAACATACTGAGCTGGGCTTAATCCCAAACCTGATTGTCATTCAAGTTTTGGCCTAACAGGTTTTCTTGGGGTTCTTTAGCATCCCTTAGGCTTTTATCAGCATCTTCCAAGATAATCAGACACTAGTCTGCCTGGTTTTAAGGCAAGACCAATCCAGCAAACACTACTCTCTCAAGGTCAGTAGAGGCATGGGAGAAGTTGCATTGTATCAAACTAGCCTCCCCCAACTGCTGCAGTAGAGGGCAAAACTCCTGCAAGAGTCACAGAAATACCTCCCTGCTCAGCTGCTGGAGGGGAGGGAGGTGCTGCAGGATGCAGAAGGCACCCTGGGTGCATGGCAGGGCATAAGTCAGACACTCTGGTGGAAAAGCAGAATAACCTGCCTTCTGGGTGCTACTGCAGCTTCCAATAAGGAAACCCAATTGAGAAGCTTTGCTGAGTTGATCAAAAAGGTAAGGAAATGTGTGCGGTGACTTAAATTAAAGAGCAGAATGGAAAAATCAGACTTACTCTGTGCCTAATGATAGCTGGGGGGAGCCTTTGCCAAAGGAAGCTGAAGTTGCCAGCAACATATGTGGAAATGTCATTAGTTTCCCTAACAATTAGCACTTGCTGCAACTGATATTGTTTTTGTCTATTAGTGAGAGAACAAGCGCAATGAAATACACGACTTTGTGTTCTGCAAGCTTCCTGGGCAGCACTGTGAGAGGTCACCTCAGAGACAGCGAAACACGGCCAGGTGACATCTCCAAAACTCGTGCTGAATGGGGCTGGGATGAAACCACCACTGCCAGGAGATCTGGGAGCAGGTGCTGAGACAACAGGGACCACTGGGGTCAGCACTCCTTTTGAGACTATCTCCAAAGCCTGTCTCCTTTGCTCCTCTGGCTGCTTGGAGAACAGAGTGACAGGACAAGGGGAAATGGCTTTAAGCTGACTGAGGGGAGATTTAGGCTAGAGATAAGGAAGAAATTCTTCCCTGTTAGGGTGCTGAGGCACTGGCACAGGTTGCCCAGAGAAGCTGTGGCTGCCCCATCCCTGGCAGTGTTCAAGGCCAGGTTGAAGAGGACTTGGAGCAACTTGGTCTAGTGGAAGGTGTCCCTGCCCGTGGCAGGGGGGTGGAACTGGGTGAGCTTTAAGGTCTCTTCCAACCCAAACTGTTCTGTGGTTCTATGATCATTCAGAGAAAGTATCTCAAGAGTCAGTCATCAACCCACTGGGTGAAGTACACAGCAAAGTGGCCAAGGATACATGACGGCAAGGTGTGCTGTATAACATTTTTTTCTAGCAGGTGGTGCTGTCCTGCTGCAGAAGTGACTACACCATTCCTGGGAGGACTGGTGATGGCCAGACCAAGTCTCACTGATGCAAATTGCCTTCATTGGCAGCACCAGAGAATTTTCACATTGGCTACAATTACACTTCTACTCATTTTTTGAATGGTTTGTTCTACCACAGCAATATACAGTGCCCCACGGAGTACTATCAGGAGCTTTACCCTTCTGTATCATGCCCTGCTCTTGTCCCTTCTGCCTGAGCTGGGGGCCAGGGCACTCACACCCCTGCATCAGCTCTCCTGCACAGCTCAGAAGGGGAGATGGACTCATTATTCCTGCTTTGCAAACTGGAAACAGGGTGGAAAGAGGTGAAACGGCCTGACACAGCCATACAGTGATATGTAAAATATACCACAGGGTCCATCACCAATTGTGTCTAAACCCTCTCCCCTCCTCTCCTTGCCAAGCTACAGATCTAGACAAGAGCTGCAGGCACATTGCCAGTCTGAGTCTCCACCTCCTTATGCTATTCTCTCCCATGCAAAGCAGTTTATAAATGCTACCTTTTGGCATTAGATCTGTTTCATACCCCCTGGTCTATGGGTAAATAGCCATTGAGGGTACAAGACGGTGACTTCTGCTCTCCCCTCTGGCTCCCCAGAGAGGTGAGCTCGCTCTGCTGGCTCTTCATCCCCCGTGGAGCATCCCTGCCCACATTTCAAAGAGGAAGGAAGGCAAAGTGAATCTGCCTGGCGCAGCTCGCAGTGCCAGCTATCTGTCAGCGGCTTTGCAACGCAGGAGTACATTTGCTCTGCCAAAGCCTGGACTTTCAGGCAGGGACCGGCAGTACCACTGCACTCCCCCCATCCCATTAACCCCTCTGTTGGTAAGGGGCTAAGAGCCCCTCTGGCTAAAGGGTGCAGTGAAGGCGGCACACAGAGGAGGGAGTGGGGTGAACCTCTGTGTCCCCACAGGAAAGTGGGGGTCAGCCCTGCAACGGGAATTCTGCCCAGGGACAGCCAATAAACCTGCTAGGGACAAGACAAAATAACTGTGGGATTGGTGGTAGCTCCCCTGGACCCACTGCACCTCAACAGACAGCATGTTGTGAAAAGGAGGAAGCCTGCAGTGACAGGGAACAGCGAGCATCTCCCCCAGCAAACACTGAAGCCACCCAGGTCCTGCTGCGCTGCCAGAGAGCAGGCAACAGGAGCACAAAGAGGACAAACACCTTTTAGGTGGGTGCCACAGCTTTTAGCATATTTCCACAGCAGCCCAAATGAGCATTGTCCTAATTGCTCTCCATCTCCCCAAAACCTGGGAGCTGGGTCTCTTTATTTACCGCATCTGCCTGCCTCCCATCTTCAGGACACGTCTTCCCTTCCCCCCGTCAAACTCAACAACCACCAGAAATATCCTGTAATCTCTTCTGCTTCACCTGTAATTTGTGTCATGCTGGCAAGGAGGAGCGGAACCGTCTGCCTTTGTCAAGATCAAAAAAGCCATGGCAGCCATGTAATGTCAGCTTACATTACACCACCCTCACTCCCCTCTGCCTCCCCTCTCCTGCTTGCTGCAGCGGGGGAAGATGTCTTCATCCTCCTGTGGCCTTCTTCCTCCCCATGGCACATCTGGCATTCACAGCTAACCTGGCTGATGGCAGAAGGAGGGCCAGCCCCAGCAGGGAGCTGAGGGGATCCTGGACCCTGCCCCACATCAAGCTGGAGCCAAACCTGGGCATGAGGCAAAGAGCAGGAGGTGCAGCAAAGGAGACCGCATGCCACTGGGGGACACTGGACCTCTGAGGCCTTTACATCAGTGCAAGTCATCCTCCCGCTCTGACCTTGGACTAAGGAAAGCTCAGCCCAACCTTCAGAACTGCAGTGCTTCAGCACAGGCTCCTTCCTGCCTGTCTCATGGACAGGGGAGTGCTGGGCTGGGCAGGGTCCGGCCAGCCCTAGGGCCAAGGGGCAGATGCTCTGGAAAGGGTAGGATGGAGACTGGGCTGCAGGAGCTGCTGCAAAACCTCACATGGGGCAATTCGGCATGCAATGCTGAGTGCTGCTGCTGTGCACTGTTAGTGACATTCCCTTCTCTAGCTATTATATTTACCCGGAGTACTGTGTTCCACTCTGCGGTCCCCAACACAAGAGGGACATGGAGCTCTTGGAGGGAGTCCAGAGAAGGGCCATGAAGATGGCCACAGGGCTGGAGCACCTCTCCAATGGAGGCAGGCCAAGAGAGCTGGGCTTGTTCAGCCTGGAGAAGAGAAGGCTCTGGGGAGACCTTAGAGCAGCTCCCAGTGCCTAAAGCGGCGACAAGAAACCTGGAGAGGGACGTTTTACAAAGGCAGGCAGTGACAGGACAAGGGGGATGGCTTTAACCTGACAGAGGGGACACTGAGTTTGATGTCAGGAGGAAGCTCTTCACGAGGACGGTGCTGAGGCGCTGGCACAGGTTTCCCACAGAAGCTGCGGCTCCCCCGCGCCTCGCAGCGCCCAAGCCCGGGTCGCACGGGGCCTGCACCAACCCGCTCTGGCGGAAGTCGTGCGGTAACACCGCACAGCACCGCCCTCACCCCTCCCCAGTGCACATGCGCGCTGGGAGCCCCGCCCCCGACGTGCGTCGGTTTGAATCGCGGCGGGTGAGCGATGGCGGTGTTGCGGCCCTTCGACAAGCTCCCGGTGCTCAACTCCGCCACCTTGCTGGTAGGTCCGCTCTGCGCCGCTTCCCCTTCCCCTTCCCCTGCCCCGGCCCGCCGGTACCGCGCCTTCCGACCCCTTCCCCTCGGGAGCCACGGCCTTGCTGGCCCCAGTGCCGGGTCGTGCGCGACCCCCGGCGCCGCGGGTGCCTTTTGCCAGCGGCCTCTGACCGCGCTTTCCTTCTCTGTCCGCGCAGTTGGTGGGTTCGGACGAAGGGCTCCAGCAGGAGCTGGCCAAGGCGATGCTCCAGGAGAAGAAGAGCTTCAAGATTAGCATGTGAGTGGTGGGGAGCGGGATCGCACCGGGCCCTCCTGCCTCCTTGTCCTAGAGGTAGAGCTAAAGCGGCGGCTGTGACGAGGATTCACGGAGCTTCCGCTTCAGAGAACGTGCTATGGTAAACGCTGGAGTGCGTTACTGCGGGGGGAAACGCGGTCCGCCTCCAGCGTGGTGGGGTTAACCTCAGCCAGCAGCCAAGGACTGCACAGCCGCTCGCTCACTGCCCTCACCCCCCCCACCGGTGGGATGGGGAGGGGAACCGGGAAAAGTGTAAAAACCCCTGGGTTGAGATAAGAACGGCTTCATAATTGAAGTAAAAGTAAAACGTTATAACAATAGGAAATATTCATATAGCTATAGTATTTTATGTTTCCTCCAGAGAGAGGAAGGAATAAACAGATGATGCACAGTATAATTGCTCACCACCCACTGACTGATGCCCATCTCTTCGCTGAGCAGCAACCGGCCCTTTCCAGCCACCTCCCCACAGTTTATATACTGGGCATGATGTGCTGTGGTATGGAATACCCCTTTGGCTGGTTCTGGTCAGGTGTCCTGTCTTTGCTTCATCCCAGCTTTTTGTGCCCCTCCTCGCTGGCAGGGGATGAGACTGAAAAGTCTTTGATCAGGGTAAGCACTACTCGGCAACAACTAAAACATCTGTGTCTTATCAGCATTGTTCTCGGACTAAAGCCAAAGCACAGCACTGCACCAGCTACTAGGAAGAAAATGAATTCTCTCCCAGCTGAAGCCAGGACAAGCGCAAGCAGTCTGGGCATGGTTAGATGTGGGAGTGGAAATAATGCTCGCATTCATCATGTTCACTGTGCACATACCATTCCCCTTTGGATGTTGCACAGATGCTTGATTACTAAATTGCAAGAGAGTGAGAAGAGCACAGGTATTTTTTCCCCTCCTGGGAGATAGGCATATACATGAATTTAACATGTTGCAATGGGACAAGTTGCAATGCTTGCAGCTCTTTGAAACCGAACAAGTTTTGCTGAAAGATGTCCATTGCTTTTGATGCTCTTCATAGCTATTTTTGATTTTCTGTGCGTGCATGTGCTTTTCGTCCTCAGGCTATTAAGATGCATTTGGAATTTCAACTTCAGCTGCATGACGAGCCCTCTCTTAAAAAGCTTAACTAATGTTTTATGATGAAATGTCCTTGACAGCTCTCTTGCTAAGACCAAATGAATTTATTCAGCTCTTCAGAAGGCATTTGTGTTATTTCACTGCTGTAATCCAAGGCTATGCAGTAAAGGCAAACTCGAGCTAATGATCTACTAGCCAGTTAGTGACTGTATTGCCCTCATCATGGCATTTTGGATGTTTGTGCTAGCTAATAGTACATTAATAACCCAATTTTCTATTCAAATCCTGCAGCTTCTGTTGAGCTGCAGAGTGCCATAACTAATTGGCTACTGTTACTATAGCTGGGTAACTACCTAAAGGCATGGAAACTTATGCTCGTGCTGCAGAGCAAGGTAAGTTCCTGCCCTAGTATCATTAGGGAAGCAGAAGTCTGTGACAGTTGTCACAGCTGTGACACCCCTAGCTCCCCTTCTTTGGGATTATATACATTACAAAGAAATATAGTGTTTTCTGGCAAGACTACCTGCCAGATACTGCTGTTTAGAGAATTGGAGGGCTGGGGTTCTTGTGTTTCTTATCACTTGGGGGGAAAAAAAGGCTTCTGCAGTGCATATCTGGAGGCTACTGGCATCATCTAGTGATGTTGGCTTAAATATCATAGAATCATAGAACGGTTTGAGCTGGAAAGGACCTTAAGATCATCCAATTCCAACTCCCCTGCCATGTGCAGGGACATCTCACCCTGTACCGTGTTGCCCAAGGCTCTGTCGCACCTGGCCTTGACCGCTGCCAGGGATGGAGCATTTACTACTTCTTTTGGCAACCCATTCCAGTGCCTCACCACCCTCACAGTAAAGGACTTCTTATATCTAACCTGAACTTCCGCTGTTCAAGTTTGAACCCATTAACCCTTGTCCTATCACTGCAGTCTCTGCTGAAGAGTCCCTCTTCAGATACTGGAAGGCTGCTATGAGGTCTCCATGTAGCCTTTTCTTCAGGCTGAACAGCCCCAACTTTCTCAGCCTGTCTTCATATGGGAGAATATAGTATATAGTGGAATTCTAAATCGTGGAGGTTTTGGGTAGTTCTGCACCTGCTTCCAGACAATGAGATCTGATACTTTCCTTTCACCACAGCTTCTCACTAAATTGCATTTTAAATTGATAAGCTTGTTTGTGTTGCAATGTGTCTTTCAAGCACACTTTGCTCATAACTCGTGTTTGCTTCAGAATGTTTTTGTTAAATCATAGCTTCCTTACTTGTAGGAGGCACCACACCTTTATGTGGAGACTGGCAGACAAAAGTACAAACTGCATGTGATTAGTAGAAGGGAATGTGTACTGTGGCTGCTGGGGAAAGCTGTGAAGTCCTTAGTTAATTGCTAGAAGTAATGTTTCCCCTAGGAAACCAAAACCAGTGTTTCTCTCTTGGCTTCCAGAGACAAAGTGGATTGTGAGAGAGATTGAAATTCTGGGATTTATTTTTTCTCCAGTCTGTCTTTCAGGTGAACTTCCAAAAATATGCTTCCCTGTGGAAGGCCCAGATAGGCACTACTGAAGCTTTTCCTTTTTTTTTTCTTTTTACTTGTAGTGGGAAGACACACAGAAAATCCCCACCCTGTGTTTTTTCCAACAGCTGTATCGGCAGTGGTAGTATTGAATAGAAGGAAATATCAACCAATCTAGTAACTCCTGATGCAGTGAAAGGGATAAAAAAAGGGGTAATGATAATAGGAGCTCTTTCTGAATTAAAACTTCATCTATAAAGTTGTATTAGTGATAATATGCTATTTTAAGGTTTTGTGAATATAACACACCTCTATCACAGGCATCTGAGAAGGTAGACTCTCCTGTTTGAGAGCATGAGCAGTATCTTTGGAACATGACGGGAAAGCACTGATGCATTTTAGATGAAACTTGGCAGCAAAATACACCAGTAAAGTACTGAGGTTCACTTTGTTAGATAGGACGACTCTTAACAATTAAATGACTGCTGTATGGATCTGTTGGGAACAAATGCTTCTGTGAATCTTGTTATGCTCTAATAAGCTTCCCATTATAAACAAGCTTGTCCAGCAAGTACCACTGTGCCTGTCAACAGCTATGAGTAGGCCTATGATATTAGAATACCACTTAAAGAATTGCAGTGTCTCTTCAGTTCCTACATGTTTAGTGTGCTTTCTGGTAACTTGCTACATGGTGAACTGTGATGGTTATCTGGATGTGGTTAAGTGGATAATGTCTTGCCAAGCTATTTGGTTAAACTGGACAATTTATTCTCTTTCAGTCATCTTGCTACATCCCTCCCCTTACCTTCAGAGGGGGATCATCTTCGGCCCAGGATAGATCTGATTGTGTTTACGATTGACATCAAGAACAAACACAGGTAAAAGAAGGGCAAAAATCTGAGAGGGGAAACTGATATTCTTTCTTGGATTGATAAATAAATCTGTATTTTTACTGTGTCAGAATTTCTGAATAGTGGAATTCAAAGCCAAGACTTGCTGTGGTGGAACAGCTCAGTAATACATGCAGTGGTTTTCTGGCCTTCAGCAATGGATTAGTTCTGAACCGCTCTGTCTAATAACATGCCTGTTGTGCACTAAGTTGCCATAGCAGAGAAGGCAGAATTTATTCCCGAATATGGATATGTGGTGATGGGAACTGAGCTTTGGAAAGATGCTGTCTCTAAAATTAGATGGAAATGATGGTCATGCTGTTAAGTTCTGTAATATACAGAGGGCTGATGTACACTGGGCAGTGCAACCTAATAACCTGCCAGTTGCTGCATCTGTGTCCCCAGTTCACTGATACTGCTGTTCAAGTTGGATCAGCACTGCAGATGTCTTTAGGTAAAAGAGAAAGTTCTGCAGGGATGATCCCTTTTCTCTCATCTTGTGCTCATCTTTGTAGAAATGATGTTTCAGTCCCTAGGCCATAAGTGAAGACTTGCTAAGGCACAGAAGTCAGCATTTTATTATTTACTTAACTTGTGAGTGATGATCCTGGGCTCTCATTTACCAAAAATGACAGGCCCAGCTGCATACTTATAGCACAAATGGTGCTGCGGAAGTGTGTGGGCTAGCTCTTCTGAAAGAGCCAAAGTAGTGCTGAAGTCTTGTTGGATGTTAATGAATGTGGATGCTTAGTGTCCGCAAATCACAGAGGAGACCATTCAAACTAAGTCTAACTGTTGAGTCTTGGGTAGAAAAGGATATGTTATGGATTATTAAACAGCTGTGGGTATTACAGAAAGCTCTCATGCCATGCTTTTAGCACAGAGCATAACTCTGCCAGCTCTCAGATCAGCAGATGTTAACATCAGTGGCTTTCTAAATGTGCTTCTGAAAGTTACACTATTTGTCCTTATGCTGAACTGTTTTTACCTCCCTGTCCAACTGGATTATCTGTGTTTCTCTGACAGCTTGAAGAATGTCGAAGATTCCTTAGCTCATGTGGCTGCCAGCTTCTTCCTGGGGAAAGTGTGCTTTCTTGTCACTGGGGGTACGTATGCCATCTGCCCTCTTCTTCTCTAGGCAGCACAACTCACTGTTGATTGCCTTAAAACAGAGCAGTGACTTAACTTGAAACAAGACAAAGGAAACCAGTGGCTTTGTCAAAAGCTTTGTTTAAATTATATCTGAACTCACCTGTGGGGGGTTTTGATTGTCAGATGAAACACTGTTCTCGTCTCATGCTCACTTGCTCTCTCCTTCTTGTTCTTGCCAGTAAGACCTCTCTTCTCTGTCCCTAATCCCTGAATATGATTTGTGCTATTGATTTGTATTTTTTTCCTGTGTTACTGTAGAAGTCTATTCTATCTGCTCTTGCAGATATGTCTTAATGATTATCTTAATAAGCAGCGAGGAGTGTATGATACTGTGGTAATAAAATGCATTTAAATGGATGAGCTACTAAACTATTAAATATGGTTTTAATACAACACTGGTATCCCTGCTGTGTACTGTCTAGCCCTGTTGTGCCTCTAATCTCTTTCTTCCCCCCCCACTGCCTCAAGTAGAGGGAGTGTTTTCCTGTATCCTCCCTGCTTCAGCTCTGAGGAACTGGAGTGGGCAGACCATACTGCTCAGTGTTGGACAAGAGGTCCCGTGTCCTTGGAATTTTGGGCTCAGGAAGCCTAATTCTGGGGTGAGAAAGAGTCTTAGTGTTGTCCTGTACTATGGCTCTTCTGAGCAAGTTAATTCCTCAGAGGCTTGAGCACCCTGTGATACCACATGAGCCAGATTCAGACTGTGCTGATAATAGTGTACCAGTCCCTTATCCAAAATGGTAATGTTACAGTACTTGGTAATGTGGTAGTACTATTCCACATTAGTATTATGAAAGACTTCTGTGCTAATTCCATTGTGAATCTTATACCATTCTCTTTGTACTGCTCACTGTTGCCTTACCTTCTACAGTGCTCTGAAAGCTAGCTCTGGATAATTTTGTGGATGTGGAATTCCCTGTAGTTTTCTTAACTGAATGTTAAATATGTGGCTTGTAATGTGGGAAATCTTTTTCTGTAGTTGGCAGGGTGAATTTCTGCAGTGTAGAAATGAGTTCCATCTTGAAACTGGGAGAAGTCTACTGCAGTCCTGTGCTATACTGTGAGCTGGAGGTAAGGTGCTGATTTGGTGTCTATAGGGTCTTGTGCATTCCAGTGCTCTCTGATCCTCAGGAACATCATTATCTTAGCAATAAATATATGTACATACACTACTGTCTTGCTTAAGTGTTAAAGACCAGACTCTATAAGAGTAGTAGAGGTACAGGAGTCTGGCTGTTCTTGAAATGAGTCTTGTAAATTACCTGCTCATTCCTGTGCTACTTCAAAGCCTCAGGAAGCCAAGTCTAAATTAATAAAGACTTCACTGATACACAAAGCCTCAGTACACTTTGTTCTTTGAGGCATTTTCTCTTCTTGGGAGCCCCATAGCTGTTATTTGCCATGTGGCTCTCTTGTCTGTATAATGCTTCCTGTTAGCCAGGCTTTGTTGCTTCACAGGCTGTTTTGCTATCTGATACACCACTCTTTCCAATTACCTGTTTGGTCTGAAAAGCTGGAGGGAGAGTTTGGCGTTCAGCAAATGTGTGTTCACTTTTCTGCGTGTTCGTCATTGCACCCTCGGAGATCACTTCCCTACCAGCAGGTAATATCTGTGCCTTTGGCAAGCCCTTCAGGGTTTTCGGCTGACAACACTGTACCTTACTTAACATTAGGGGAGTAAACAGGCCTGTTTGGAGTTTTCTGTAGCTGGCTGCTCTGAACCATACTTAATGCCTGCTCTGGTTTTGATTTTATTTTATCACAGCTTTGCACTGCTTTTCTTTTCTGTTGCTAAAATAATTTCTCAATTTTGTTTCCAGTTGGAATGGATACGAGTTGCCACTGCTCAGCGACTTCTCCGGATGTTACAGATCTGTGCTGGTCATGTACCAGGAGTTTCTGCCTTGACCTTTAACTTTATGTTGAGGAACTCTTACTAGCTTCCCATTGTGAGAATTGAGGATTTTTACTTCAGGCATTCAAGCTGCTTCAGTTGGAATCACACTGGGAAGCTTTTTTGCCTAACGTGTCATGATCACTCATCCGGAGCTGTTCCTAGTTGCTAATCTCTCAAGAAAAGCTTGATTTCTGCTCAGCTGATAATGTAGAGGTGCTGGGGGGGAGGGGAGTTTGAACTGGGGACTCCTATCCATTATTACATCTCGGTCCCATTTCATGATCAAGTTTGAGTTTCACCCACTTCGCCAGTGGCCAGGAGCTACATGTTTTACTGAGAGAATATCAGAAAAACAAGCTGCTAGCCCAAATACTTCATATCATGTTGAGTATCTTAGTTTCCCAAAGTACTAGAGAAGAGGCAGCAGGTTCCTGCTTCCTTACAGTTGAAATATAGCACCTTGGACTAACATGAAACCTGCCTCCTAGGTTTTGTCTCCCCACTAAGAGAATAATGGGGAAGAAGGGTTGTACTTCAGCGGGCAGTTAGTGATCCAGGTGTGTGAGTGTCTGCCCAGTGAAGGGCTCAGTATTCCATGCCTGGTACCTAACTGGGGAGGAAGGGACTAAATAAGGTAATTGAGCACTTTAGCTTTCTTATAGATCTTTAAAGAAAAAGGCTTCATCTAGCAAACCCAAGATAACAAGCAACCCTATTTTATTAAGCCTAGGATAACCATATTCTTACTGCAATTCAGCAGTTTGTTATGGAGTTGTAAGTTAACAAAATGTGTACTATTTAATAATTAGCTGTATGCTCTTTGTTCAGGTATATGGCACTGGCTCTGAAGACCTATGGGCACTTGCCCAGGTTTGCCCGGGCAGGGAGGCTGGTCCTTGCTCGCAGCTTGAGCTTCCAGTTAGTTGGTGGGCTGCAGTCACGGCTTCAGCCACGGGGTGGTGGCAAAAGCTTTTCAAATAGGAATCTTCCTGTATACCCACTTGAGCCACCTTCTCCAATACGTTTCTTGAGTCGCTGGGATGTTTCTTACCCAGAAATGCGTGCCAGGTAGAAATGAAGCCCAGAGAGAATGTGTTAGGCTTCCTCCTGGTTTAATTTATTTAATCCCCAATAGTGTGCTTTAATGTAGCTAGGTGCAGAGCTTTAGCTGTGTGTGCTGTTTTGCTTAGCTTGTTTCTGACATCTGTCTGTGAGCAGGAAAAAGCAGAAAGCAGCACTGCAGGCTTAATCAGCTGTGAGTGTTGGCAGTCCTTGTAAAGACAGCTCAGCAAGGCACAAAGCCTGTATCCTTGCTCAGAGGACACACAAATCCCAGCTACAGTTGTATCGTTGCTGGCAGGGGACAGCTAGGTTGTTTATCAGCTGAAACAAAAGGAGCTGAACCATTCAGCTGTGTTATGGTGCCCAAAAGGGTTGGACTGGCTAAAACCCAAAGGAGAAAGAAATATGCAAACTCTCCTGGCTGTGTAAGAAGGATTGGAAGCTTAATGGGCATGCCCTACTTTCGGCTAGCTTTGTGATCCTGAAGGTACCAGCTAGGACTTGGCCACCAGAGTGAGGCAGTCATGCTGAGAAACAAGTTTCTCTGTTGGTTATGCTGTCTCAGCCTTGCTCTTGCTTTGGGTCCCTGAAAATAAATGAGACCATGGTTTAGAACAGACTGGTTTCGATTTGCTCTCGTTGTGCAGGTGCAATCTGGGGGAGGGAAGGAAGGGCTGCGGCATGAAATGAGCCAATCTCTCATCTCCTCCGCAGCTGCTGTAAGGTAAGGAGACTTCAGTCTCCTAGGTTGCTCCCTGGTTGTCTCTAATCACTATTGGACTGGGGTAAAAGCCCTTTGGCCTCAAGAGTAATTTTGCTGTGCTTTCTTGACTGGTGAAAACGAAACTTTCTTTGGTTCACCCAGACTGCTTCATAGCAACCCACATGTGCTACTGTCCATTCCTGCACCTTCAAACATGAGGTTGGTTTTTTTTCTACCACTGTGTTTCAGATGTGGTATTTCCTTCTACTACTTTCAAAGAAGAAAGATTTTGTCTGTACCACTTCCTACAGGTGGCCAATCCCAGCTGGTACAAAATAAAATCTAGTTCCTTAAGAGCAGCATCTCACTTCACCTTGAGGCAAATATTTTTCATGCTCTTAGGAAAAAGTCTTCACTAGAAGTGGCAGGGGAAGTGGTGCATATCTAAGAATCTGACACAATGTCTCAGGTCCATCATGTTTTACAACTAAAAGTAGTTGGGACACATCTAAAGCTACAGCTTCAGCTAAGTAAATACGTCTTGGAATTGTCAGCTATTAGTTTGGACAGGCTGTAACACTGCCCCTACCAGAGAGGACAAGGCATCTGAGGATATCTTTCATCTGGATGGAGTAGCCAGGGCTAACGTTTGATGAAGGCCTTGTGAAAGTAGTACTTGGATTGGGATCAGAGTCATGAAAAGCCTGAAGCTGAACTAGGGCTAGTGACTGTCATGTTTAAACATTAGGAAAAACCTTGCCAAGGTGGCTGAAATCTAAACTAACAGATATTTTGGAGTTACTTGCTTTCTCTTTCTCTCTCTCTATTGCCTCAGTTCCCTATCCCGGGGGAGACTTTCAAAGAGAAATCCCCCTTTCTGTGGCCAGAGCACCCATGCACGTTCCTGGTTTGACTGCTTCTGTTTGTGGATGTGGTTTTGTTTGTCAGCAACATTAGTGTAAAAGCAGTGTCATAAGTACAGAAGACCTTGCACAGTTGCACTAGCATAAGCTTCAGTTGTGCAGTGCTTTTTTTTGGGGGGTGGTGGTGGCGGAGCTGGTTGAGGCTGTAAGAGGGCCTGTTCTGCTACAGCAGGTTTACCACAGGATTTTGCCTTCAGCCTGGTCACATGAAGAAGATTCTATATCCTCAGCCTGCTAGCTGAGCTGCTCTGTGTCAGCGTGGTTGGCATTGCCTACTGGGACCATAGTTTTCTGCTAGCCCAGGTTTTCCAAGGGAAGAGGTTTTGCTTGCTGGCATTGCCACACCAGCAGTTAAATCAGACCAACTCTTAAGCATGATAAGACATGATATGCTTGGTCTATACTAGCAGGAGAGAAAGTCTGTGTACGGATATGGCTCCTGTAGTAAAAGATCTCTATCCCGGAACAAAGATCAGAGAGAAATTCAGCCCTGAGGACTTATCTTTCCCTCCAAACCCTGAAACTTGTGGTAGAGGTTTAAATTCAAGGCCACCTCTTATATTTGCTTTGGGCACTGATTAAAACTCAGTATCTCTGCTTGCCAAGACCTGTAGTTGGAAGGGGCTGTCTGGGTTAGGTCAGCTGTGGCGCTCGGCAGCTGTGCTCAAGCTGTAAGAGCTGCTTGGCAGCTCTTGCCTGCTGCTGCTGTGGACAGTGGTCATGAAGAAACTTGTGTTGCCTGGAGCTGCCCTGCAGAGCTCCAGCAGAGGTACCTGCTCTGCTGTAAAAAGCAAAGGAGATGCTTTCTCCCTTGGGATTTTTAACTTGTTTTGCAGGAGCACTGGGCTTTGCTCTGGCCAGATTCCAGCTGCTACATCTCCATTCAGCTGGCCCAGATCCCCTGGCAGTCTCCTCTGAGTGTTCTCCACTTCCCACCCCAAGCTGGTGTGCAGCCTTGCTGTGGGCTGCTGACCAACTGCCACTTTTCATTCAGTGACCAGCTGTCCTTCACTGGTGGGGAAAAGTGATTTACATGCAAGAGAAAGCAGTGGCTGGCACGGCCCAGAGCTGGGAGCCAGAAACACTGGGCTCGTGTCACCTCTCTTCCTGATTCCTCGCATGACCCTGGGTGCACAGGTTAAAACTCACTGGGCTTCACTTGCTCTGCCTCTACAGCAGGAGCTGCCTTCACTGGAGGGGTGTGATGAGGGCAAATAGACATTGCTTTGGGGTCACAAGTCTGGAATTGAGGGGAAATATTCGGAAGAAACCTAATGAGCAGAGTGTGGTTGTTACCTGTGTTCTGGGGGGGAGGGTTTGGTGGGACCTGCTTAAGATTGGTTGTGTTTTGTGCTGCTTACCTGCCTGACTCTGCTGCAGGGAGGCTGCCTGAAACTGGGCTGCGATCCCGCTCATGAGGCGTTGCGGCATGGTTGGGTTTTGTTGTGAACTGGAACAAAATTACACTCTGAAGCGCTGAAATTCCCTGTGCAGTTCAATTATCCTTGAATTGGCCGGTGGGAGAAATCAAAGTCTCTGGATCTCTTCCTCATTGTTTAAATATTAATACGGCACGGCGATGCTGAGCAGGATGGCATCCCCTCGGGTCGGCTCTGTGCAGGGGGGGCCGTCTTGGCTGTGAAAGAACCGGTGCGGAGCGAGAGAGAGAGGTTGGGCTGAGGGGCCTCGGGAGTGATGTGACTCGCTCTGACTCCTTGGCAGCTGAGCAGCACAGCTCCTGGCCCTTGCTGGGGCACGTTTCCCTCGCCACGGGCCTCTTCTGCCGGAGCTGATACATGCCACCATGCTGGCCCCCCTCAAGCTCGCCGCGCAGGGTGGTGGTTTGAGAGGGGCCAGGAAAGGCAGGATCTGTGCCCGCCCCTGCCCCGCAGCCTCCTCTGCCGAGGGCAGTCAGTGGGGTGTGGAAGAGACGTGTTCTACACAGGTGCAGGTGCGGCTGCGGGCTGCATGCGAGGGCCCCGTGGGCCCTGTGCGTCACGGGAGGGAGCACTGAGATGGGGTGAGGGCAGAACAGAGAGAGGCCACCTTCCCCCGGGGAACCTGCTCTGCCCTCCAGTCCAGCAAGCTGAAACAGCCGTGCTTGAGAGCGGTCCTTGTGCAGGAGCCAGGCACAGCTTCACCGACCTAAAAAGCCCAGCTAGCGTTAAACATGCTGAGGAGGCTTTCCCGGCTTTCCGTCCCTGTGTTCCCATGGAAGCTCTCGAGTCCCGCTGTGTGCCCACGCTGCATTGACAGGGCTATGGTGGCTTGCTGTGGCTGGGCCTGCCTTCCTGCTGCCAAGCTGGCCAAGTCACCACAGCACTCTGCTGGAGAAACACCATGGGTGTTTGCTGAGGGTTGGCGGTCCTTGAGGCACTATTGCTGTGCACTGGTCAGCTCAAAGCTCTCCTGACCCTCTGTGCTGGCTGCTCTTCCAGGTTGGATGGCAACACGGGCGCTGCCCCAGTGTGACCTTCTGGATCTTCCCCCACCGCTGTTTCCTGTTCCTGCTCTTCCAGAGATGACAGCTATGAAGCCAGGGCTGCGTTTGGCTCAGCTCGGTATCTAACAACCTGTGGCTCGTGCTGCAGGGGAGCACCTCTCTTCAAAGCAATGTGCCAACGTCAACTAATTAATCCTCATTCTGCCATGGGACTGAGGGGTGACTCAGTGCCTCGTGCTGTTACTCCGAGCAGCAGAGGATCAAAGGCACTGGAGCTGGGGAAGCCCTGGGGTAAAGGGGTGTTGCTGGTACCTGTAAAGGCTCAGTCTTGCTCACTTGTCTCCAGGGCTCCTTTTTAGCCATGCAGAGGGCTGAAAGCTCTCCTGCCTTAGAGATGGGGCTGACCTGCCCTCTCCTTGCTCTGCAGGGAATGTGCTTACTACCCAGTTGTTCCCTTTTGATCTTTTCTTTGGTTACAACTCAATTTGGCCATCCTGAGCAATTCTTCCTCATGGTCACTCCTTAATACCTCCCTGCCATCCCAGTGTGTGTGTCCGGGTGACGGGCAGGGGCAGGGAGGCTTAGGCAGTGTGTAAACAGGGCTGTGGTGGTGTTGCACATCCCCTGTGGGCTCTGTGACCCTCTTCAAGCCACACACCAGGCTGTGCCAGCAT